TATCAGGTGTTTCCTACCTATCCGGTCCAGCAGTAGATGTTGATCGTCCATCTTTTCTTCTTTAAACTCCACCTCTTTTCCTTTAAATTCCGTGAATGTTTCTTCAGCAGGAGTTAACTGCTCGGTGATAAACTCTCCTTGAAGCTGGACTGAAGACATTCTCACTGCAAACACTCCCAGATTATTAGCCTCTCTACAATGACTCCACACACAAGCTAAGCTAATCCTGCTAATGCTACCAGTGACGTACCTTCCTCTTCTTCTTCCTGTTTTTTTACTGGCGGGTGACATCTAACGTTAAGATGTATTATCGCCATCTACTGTCCTGGACCAGATAATCTCACTTTAATCTAAATTCTTATAAATAATCCGGTTTCCTTCAAAAAAAATTTTAAAACTGCTTTATTTGTTTTATGATGAACTAATATTTATTATTTCCTAATGTCTTGTTTCAGCTTCTCTCTACTTACTGTATACTTTTAACAATTAAGTATTACATGTTCTACTGTTTCCATATCCCTACCACACTCACAACTACCAATTGGATATTTACCTATCAAGTGTAAAGTTTTATTTAATCCAGTATGTCCAAGCAGCAATCTTGTCATTACTACTTGTTCTTTCTGATTTTTTCCTATCATTTCCATATTTCCTACTATTCTTTTGTAAATAAAATAAATGACGACCTCTAGGTTTTTCTCAATTTTTACCACTTAGAATTAATTTTGCTCTTAATGATTGATTTTATTTCAGATTTACAGTAAGCTATTTCCATACTCTACTTTGTTTTAAAGACGTCTTAGCAAAATGATCTTCCATATCATTCCATTCTATAGCTTTATGAGCAGGTTTCCATATAAACCTAATCTCTATTTGAATTTGGGTCAATTTCATATACTAACTCCATGCGACTTTCAGATGAAACATTTAAAATGGACATTAATGATGATAATGAATTTGAACATATAAGAACTTTTTCAATTTTATTTTGCTCTACCCACTGTAAGGCCAGAAGTATGGCTAACATTTCCATTGTATACACAGCTAAATGATCAGATGATCTTTGTTTCCAAAATACACAAAGTTCTGGAATAAGCAAATGCTGTTTTATTTGAAACTGAATCTTTTCAGCCATCTGTAAAAGTAATTGTGAAGGATTTATACCTACTCATAATTCTGTCATTTACAAAATGTACCCAGTTATTATCTTTATTAGTCTGCATTTCTTTATAAACCACTAGAGCTACATTTGCATGTGGAAACAGTATCTCTTTCCCTGTATGCCTATTTCCCTAACGAATATATCTGCTGCCCATGCAAAACGGTCCATTTTAACTTTTCCACTCTCCCATCAAGATTCTAAGGGCAGGATCTATCAAAGGTTTGCGTGTATAAAAACGTGAGCTATTTCACTGCGCACGCTAAAAAAATGTACAAACTGATCTATCAACAGCGTGCTAAAAGGATTTGGTCTTTAAAGGGATAGTTCGGTATTTTTGACATGAATCTGTATGGCATCCCCATCACCAGTG